CAACTTCCGCAGGTATCACTGCTTCAGTGCCATATACCAACAAGTAAGAAGTTGCACCCACTGAAGTGTGAACAATAGTGCGATAACCCAACAATGCGAATGGTAACTTTTCATGCCATTTCCTGGAACCTCCCACCATTTTCCGAAGTTTCTTATTTATGTTCTTGTTGGTTGCCTCGACTGCTCCATTCGCCTTGGGGCGATATGGGGTGGAATTGTGATGCGTAATCTTAAATTGTTGACATACCTCTTTCATCAAGTTACTGTTAATATTAACACCATTATCTGTGACAATCACCTTTGGTATCCCAAATCGACAGATGATATTTGAGTGAACGAAATTGACCACTACTTTCTTGGTCACAGACTTGAGAGTTTTAGCCTGAACCCACTTGGTGAAATAATTAATGGCCACCAGAATGAACCTGTGCCCGTTGGATGCTGCTGGTTCGATTGGTCCAATGACATCCATGCCCCAAGAACAAAGGGCCATGGTTCCGACATTGTGTGCAATTCCAATGGTGGAGAATGAATTAAATATCTATGTACCTGGCATTGATGACATTTGCGCACAAAACTGATACAATCTCACTCCATGGTGAGCCAATAATAACCTGCTCAGAGAATTTTCTTCGCCAACACATATCCACTCATATGCAGTCCACAGACTCCAGAATGTACTTCGGTCATGACAGTCGTGGCTTGTTTAGCATCTATGCATCTCAACAATCCAAGATCTAGAGTTCTTTTATACAAAATTGCTCCCCTGAAGAAAAATCTACTTGCCAACCGTCGAATTGTTCTCTTTTGATCCCCCGTGGCTTGCACCGGATATACCCCATTTTGATGTACTCCCTGATATCATGGAACCACGGTTCACCATCAAGTTCTTCTTCTACCATGTTACAATAAGCATGCTGATCTCGGACTTGAATATATAGAGAATCAACATAAGCTTTGTCCGGATGGTGCAACATTGATGCCAAGGTAGCCAAAGCATCGGCCACCTCATTATGGACCCTTGGAATATGCCTGAACTCTACTAATAAAAACCGTTGACAATGATCATGCAAACATTGTCGGTATGGTATGAGCTTTAAATCCCGTGTTTCCCATTCTCCTTGAATTTGGGGCACCAGAAGATCTGAGTCTCCCAAGACCAAGACTTCCTGGACATCCATGTCTGCAGCTAGCCTTAAACCCAAAATGCATGCCTCGTACTCAGCCATATTGTTGGTACAATAGAAACGAAGTTGAGCCGTAACAGGATAGTGATGCCCTGTTTCAGAAATAAGCACTGCCCCTATTCCAACTCCTTTCATGTTGGCAACCCTATCAAAGAAAAGTTTCCAACTTGGTTTTTCAATATGCTCCAGTTCGTCGATATGCATCACCTCTTCATCGGGAAAATAAGTTTTCAATGGCTCGTACTCTTCATCGACCGGGTTCTCGGCCAAATGATTGGCCAATGCTTGGGATTTCATCGCGGTCCAAGTCACATAGATGATGTCAAACTCCGTGAGCAAAATATGCCACTTTGCAAGTCTTCCTGTGGGCCTAGGTTTTGAAAGATATACTTCAACGGATCCAGGCGCGAAATGAGGTAAGTAGTGTAGGATGACAAATAATGTTTCAATTTCTGTGCTACCCAAGTTAGGGCGCAACATGTCTTTTCCAGGTTAGTGTACTTAACCTCATAAGCCGTGAACTTCTTGCTAAGATAGTAGATGGCCTGTTCCTTCCTGCCAGTGATGTCATGCTGACCCAATACACAACCAAATGAATTTTCCAGGACTGTCAAGTAAAGAATCAAAGGTCTCCCTGGTTCTGGTAGAACCAGCACAGGTGGGCTTGACAAGTATCCTTTTATCTTATCAAATGCTTCTTGACACTCATCAGTCCACTTGACCGTAGCATCCTTCTTTAGCAACTTGATTATAGGCTCACAAGTTGTCGTGAGCTGAGCAATAAACCTGCTGATGTAGTTCAACCTCCCTAACAGACTCATCACCTCAGTCTTGTTCCTCGAAGGTGGCAATTCTTGGATAGCTTTGATCTTTGACGGGTCCAACTCAATGCCTTGACGGCTGACTATGAATCCCAACAATTTTTCAGATGGAACACCAAATGCGCACTTGGCAGGGTTAAGTTTGAGGTTGTACCTGCGAAGCCTCTGGAAAAATTTCCTCAAATCTCTGACATGGTCGGCCTGCTGCTTCGACTTTATGATTACATCATCTATGTATACCTCATTCTCCTTGTGTATCAATGATGGAACACAGTAGTCATTGCCCTTATATAAGTTGCCCCAGCATTTTTCAAACCAAATGGCATTACCTGATAGCAGTAAGATCCCCATGGCGTGATGAATGCTGTCTTTTCCGCATATTCCTCATCCATTAAGATCTGATGATACCCTGCATAGCAATTCATAAAAGATCCAATCTCACTCTTGGCACAATTATCGATCAAAATGTGGATGTTGGGTAGTGGGAAATTATCCTTTGGACTTGCTTTGTTGATATTGCGGTAATCAACGCATACTCTGATCTTGTCGTCCTTCTTTGGTACTGGCACAACATTAGCTAACCAAATAGGATGTCGTGTGACCCGAATGACCTTTGCGTCCAATTGCTTGGTGATTTCTTCCTTAATCTTCACACTCATATCAGTTTGAACTTTCTCAATTTTTGCTTGACGGGAGGGAATGCCTAGTCAGTGGGTAATTTGTGGACCACCAAGTCAGTGCTCAAACCTGGCATGTCATCATATGACCATGAAAAAATATTTTTGTATTCAATCAGTGCTTTGATTATCTCTTCCCTGATCTTTGGTTCAAGGTGGACGCTTATTTTTGTCTCTCTGATATTATCTACGTCCCCTAAATTGATGGTTTCGGTATCATTCAGGTTGGGTTTGGGTTTTCCTTCAAAGTGATTTAATTCCTTACTAATCTCTTCAAAGGCCTCATCCTCATCATATTCTGATTCATCATCACACTCTTCTTCTTTAATTATTATTTCAGAATCAGACTAATTTTTAAGACTGGGCCGAGGATTCCTTACGCAAGCCATGTCATTAGAACCAACGTAAAAAGAACTGTACAGAAAAGAAAAAAATAAAAAAGAAAACTATCAGGAATGATGAAGAAGAGAAATTGCATTTCATTGAAGGATAAATGATAACAAGGTTTGCACACTCAAACAGACTAAAAGATCAAAATCTGGATTACAACCCCGGAATAACCCAGACAAACTGAAGGAAAATCAAAACAAACTACCAAAACTCCTTCCGAGTGGGGAGACGAGTAGCCTTCCAATTGTTAAGCTTCGTTTCTGGCTCGACAAATTGCACTTCCGCGTTGCTAGAACCTTCTCCAATTTCTACCACGTTTATATCGTCGAACAACTTCTCGAATTTTTCAATTAATTCCTTGTCAGGATCAATCACAGAACTAGGAATTGTTGTTACTGGGCGACTTCTGGTACCGGGCTTGACAAATAATCTGGATAGATGTGGGACCGGCTTTGGAAGGATCCATGCCCTTTTCTTAAATTTTCTGGCTCTTTTTATGTCTGCGGCTGTGGGCTTGAATCCCAGACCAAATGTTCCCAAGTTTTTGGGGAGGGATACTGGCGGTATGATGCCCTGCAGAGATGAACCCAAACCCTTGTCTGGTAGGAAACCATTCTTTAACATTTCAAAGGCCACCATGACTGATGCGGCGGTTATCTTCGGATTTGGTATGTATTTCCCCTCTGGAATTTTCTCAACCAACATTGTGTCAAAAACATGGTAGACCCATGGCCCCTTGTCATCTTCCACTTCAATGAACGGTACAACGACATTGCTCTGAGCGCACAAATTATCTTCGCCGTGCACAACTATTTCCTGTCTATCCCATTCAAATTTGACCATCTAGTATAGTGTAGATGGGACTGCTTTAGCGGCATGAATCCAGGGTCTTCCTAACATTATATTGTAGGAAACAGCTATATCCAACACCTGGAACTCCATCGTGAACTCAATTGGTCCTATCGTCAGCTCTAACACTATATCGCCAACTGAATATTTGCCTCCGCCATCAAATCTCTGCACGCAGATACTGTTCTTATGAATCCTCTCATCTTCTACTTTCAAATTGCTCAGAGTGGAGAGAGGGCAAATGTTCGCACTGGAACCATTGTCGACTAATACCCGAGCAACTACAGAGTCCTCACATTTCACTGTAAGGTAAAGGGCTCTGTTATGCTCAGTACCCTCTATAGGCAATTCATCATCGAAAAAAATGACTCTGTTCACTTCAAAGATTTTGTTGGCTATCATTTCCAGATGGTTCACTGAGATCTTATCGGGAACGTGAGCCTCATTAAGGCTCGATGGTGCTCATCTGAGTGGATTAACAATGACAATAGTGAAATCTGAGCAGGCATCTTTTTCAATTGTTCCACGATAGAATAGTCTTGCATCTTCATCTTTCTCAAAAATTCCTCTGCCTCTTCTTCAGTTATGGTTTTCTTCACTAGCACTGGGTTATCTTTGGAGTTCTTAGGTTTTCTTAATTCTTCGGGGGAAAAGCATCTCCCCGAACGAGTCAAACCCTGGGTTTCATAGACTTCTTCTTTAACTTCTTTTCCTTTGTATGTCACTGTCACCCATTCATAATTCCACGGAATAGCCCTGTTGTTGACTATCGGTAACTGGGTTACCAGCTTGATAATGACTTGATCTATGCGGGCGCCCTCCACGATTACGACAGGTTTGTTCGCCACTCCTGGCACAACCAGTTTCAACCTTTCTTGTTTTTCTGCCACATCACTTGCAGACCCCTTCTTAACTATTACAGATGGTTCACTACTCCTTTCGCTCGACTTGAGCACTATTTTCTCACTTGTTGATTGTTCAACTGTCTTGACCCCACTGGACCGAATCATCATGACGGTCTGTGACGGCTTCCTGGGCTCCCCTCCCTCATGCACTATTTCAATCATATTTGCCTCCTAATGGGCTAGCATTGGATTCCGGTTGATATTGGGCGCCTCGGGAGCTTGAACTTTAATCCGATTGGTATCAATAAGCTCTTGGATAGCACTTTTTAAGTGCCAGAACTTCTTAGTATCATGACCTGGAGTACCAGAACAATACTCACAGCTTACGGAATAATCAAGATTTTTCTGGGGAGGATTTGGCAATTTGGACTGTATCGGCCTCAGCATGTCCAGAGTTCTTAGCCTGTGGAATAAACCGGTATATGACTCTCCCAATGGAGTAAATGTTTTCTTTTTCTGCAGCCTTTCATCCTTAAATGCTTGATTAGGCCGGAAACTTGGTCCAAGAGGGTTTCGGTAGGCTCTTGGGGGTAGATAAGTGTTTTGGGGAATGGGCGCACGCCATTGCGCGTGGGGGAGAGGTTGGTTATATTTTTGGGCATGGTGGATAGAAAAATGAGGTTCTGGTGGGGGTAGTAGTGTTGGGGTAGATTATATGGGCTATGAGGGTAACTTTGGTGGTGGGGTCGAGGCTAATTATAGTGGTGAGATGAGCCTATGTGTCCGAACCATGTTCCTGAATCAATCATTGCTACGTCCTCCCTCTTCTTTTTCCCAATTCCTCCTGTGCCGCCCCGGATAGCCTGAGTGGTCGCCTTAATAGCTGAATAGCTAATGATTTTATTCGACTTGAGCCCCTCTTCTACCATACCTCCCATCTTCACTACTTCATTGAAGGATTTTTCTATAGCTGAGACCAGATGGCCATAGTAAGTAGGTTCTAAGGCGTGTAGGAAATAATCCACCATCTCACTTTCTTTCATTGGAGGGTCTACTCTTGTTGCCTACTCTCTCTATCGGAAACCATACTCTCTGAAACTTTCACTGTGCTTTTTCTCCAGTTATGTCAAGGACAGTCGATCTGGAACGATCTCAAGATTATATTGGAAGTGACAAGTGAATGCTTGCGCCAGATCATCCCATGTATACCACCTTCCATGATCATGCCGGGTGTACCACTCCAGCGCCGATCCACTCAAACTTTAACTGAAATATGCCATCAGCAATTCATCTTTTCCTCCAGCTCCCCTCATCTTGCTACAAAAACCTCTCAAGTGTGCTACTGGATCACTGTGCCCATCATACAAATCAAACTTGGGCATCTTAAACCCTGCCGGTAATTGCACATTTGGAAACAAACGCAGGTCTTTTTAAGCCACACTTACTTGACCTCCTAACCCCCGCTTGTCTCTAAATGATTATTCTAAGCTTTTAAATTTTCTAAACATCTCCTCCTTTTCGGGATTTTCGGATGGTTTTTCAGCTTCCGCAGGGAGATCAAAACGAGGAGTATAAACTTCTAAAGCTTTGAAAGTGGGCTCTGGGGGGTAGTATTGGTTATCCTGGGCTTGGAACACTGGCTCACTGGAAGATTGGTGTAGTGTAGCAGATGGGGATATTATGAAGATAGGAGTGATTGGGGGAGGAGGATATGGACCTGGTTTGGGTGGTGGAGCTTGCGGGGTTTGGGAGGTGGTGCCTTGGTAGTGATGGTAAATAGGAAATCCTGCTGATGAATCAACAGTAGGATGTTCCTGGGTTTGAGTCAATGGCGGGATGAAAGCAGGGTTAGTGGGGTAAGCTGGTGGTGGTTGTCCTTTTGACCAGGACTGGTACATTTCGGCCATCTGCTGCTTCAACTTATACATATCTTCTTTCATCGAACTAACATCCAACTCTTCCACCTCTCTTGAAGGATCGATGACACTCGCATCAAGTTCTTTGCTAGACATGATCAATTCGCCTTTGGACCTGGTGTTGTATGGATGGGTTGTCAGAATGCTCAACAAACTAACCAACTGCCTTAGTTCTGGAGCATCAACAACACACTCGTTAGTGATTAGAGCTTAATAGATTGATAACCGCATATTTGTGGAATGCAATGCACCTAAGTAATTAATCATTTTTATCATGTATTTGCTCGATTGCTTATGTCATCCCGACATTTCCTTATTTCCATGTGCAACTTCCCTTTTTCTCTTTTTTTTCATTCTTGCCTTTCTTTGTTTGACTTCTCTTTGTTTTTTTATTCTCTCATTTCCCTTTTTTATTTTGTTTCCTTTTCACGGTTTCTTATTTTCTTTCTCTTTTCTTTTGGTTATGGTCGAATCCTATGGAGATTGCCTACGTATCATGACCCCGCATGAATCAGACCGAGCGTAGTTCTGGGTATAAGTGTAAAAATAAGTAATTTTTTTTTGGGATTTTCAAAAAGCAAATACTTTGATTATAATGACTCAAAAACTAACAGACTCAAAAGAAACTAACAGACTCTAACAAAAAGAAAATACAGACTCAAGTAAAAAAAATCACGAATACATTAATGCCTCAAATGCTCTTGGGGCCCGGGGACATCATTCGGTCTCGCCACGGGCTTATATGCAACATCCCTTTGAAGCCTATCCAAGTCACTCATTATCTGTCGGACAAACGTCATCACTGCCATGAAGAAAGTGGTGCAAGTCATATCCTCACATGTTTGGCATTTCACAACAATGTAGTCGACGATGACTCTGACCCGCTCTCGGATTCTACCCTTTTCCTGAAGAAGACGCCCGACCTGTTGATTCCGGGCTTCTAACACCTAAGTGTCGTGGAGATGTTGATTTTGCAACTATTGCATTCCTTCCACCATCTGAGCCATCAAATCATAACAGTGTTTCTTATCAGCTTTGAAGTCCTTGGCTTGCTTCACTGCTTCATTCTCGAGGGTAGTCATTTTTCTGTTCAGGATGGTGATTGTCCCTTCTTACTTTCTTTTCATTTGATGCACAAACATTGCCTGCTCTTCCGCCTTCTTTGCCCATTGTGCCCGGACTTTGGCTAGGTTGGTCTCAGACTTTTCCAGGTCATCTTGTCATTCAAGGGCTTTCTTTTTCAGACTGCTTATAAGCCTTTCATCCGCTCGGCTTCTTTCCGGGTTTCTAGCAGCTATTTTCATCTTCCGGATTTGAGCTTTGAGGGTTTCATTTTCCTAAGTTAGTTTTTTCTTTTCTCCCTCATCTGCGGCGGCTTGCAAACCATTTTCAAACTGAAGGTTCAAGACTTGCCTTTTCAATTTGCTTATGGTATCCCTATACTCATTTTCTTTGGTCAACCAGTCCCATTGCACCTGTGCTCCGTCAGTGAACTGTTGGACATAGGATCTTTTTGCGGGCCTTTCAGGATCCTAATGAACTCAGGATATTTTACCATACCAAGCAGGGTAACCAGGCTCCAACTCACCTCTAGATAGATCTAGTATTTGAGTTTTAGGCTCTAAGAATCTGCACTGATGCCAAATCCGACGTACTCTTTCTTCTAGAAAGGCAGCTTTTGGTTCTAACTCAATGAACTGCCAACTCAAATCTTCATCGTGTGGGATGGTCTGGTATTGGCCTAACTGACGCAGGACTCTATGTAGAGCATAAGGCTGGATACTCCGAAGACCCATCAACAGCAGGAAACACACCTCAGCCGACATATAAATTACTTCACTGATCGAGAGCCACCAGAACGTCCATTCGATCTTGTTTGCCATCAAGGATCTCAAGTGGGCGTGCCATGCTTTTGTACCCTTCGGGAACTCATAACCCTCTACCCGCTTTTCCTGTTTTTCAATGCACTCAATGCCAGCCATACTACAATTCAAGTATCCGGGACAGTGACAAAGGTGTTCCTCCATCCATAATTGTAATAGCATATTGCACCCTTCAAAGAATTTTTTCCCTTCTCGGCAAAGGGTTAGAGCTCGGTAAATTTCTGCCAAGATCAGCGGCATTATAGTCCCATTTGCCTTTTTCATCATAAAGTCATCTATCCCTACGAGCCCCAACTCTATATTCCCATCTTTTCTGGGGAAAATCAAAATACCCAGGAATGCCGTTATTAAAGCTAATCCTCTCCGAGCTTCCTACTTGTCTTGGTTTCCTACGTGAGTAAATCTGGTATCTGGCATCTCAAAGCCATGGGGATTCCCGTAACGTCAGTACAGGAAAAAGAAGGTACAGAATCCTTTGGCTAAATTTCCGTCTCGAATGTCCGAGTGATGCTTAACAGGTCCAAAAATTTGTGAGGGGTTACTGCTCTAGGTGCCACCGAGTATTGATTTCTAGGTTTCCCGTCGAAATTGGTGTAGCCTGCTATCTCTTCCAGTGTAGGAGTTAACTCAAAATCAGCAAAGTGGAATACATTATGTGTTGGGTCCCAAAATGGTATCAAGGCCTCAATTATGTCCTTTCTCGGCTTAACCTTCAATAGCCCGATAAGACCACCCAACGCTTTTGTCACAACCTTCCTGCTGTCGTCCCCCAAATTATGACACCACATATGTAGCTCCAAAGGTATGTCTTCATGGACTGAGAAAGGGTTCATTTTGAATTGTACTCATCCTGCACATTTATTAAGGTGATTTCAATTAAAAGAAAACTACGACTCATTTTGACTCTAGTAAAATTACCATTTTTCAAAATTTTCACAAAATTATCTGGCTTTGCCGATACGGCCTTTCAGCACTCCGAAAACAAAGATTTTAAGGCTGTGTCGGCTAACCAGCCAAAACCTTGAAAAATGACTAAAGGCAACTATTCTTCCAAAAACAGCCTTCCGGCGCCCTTTTGAGGGACATTTGGCTATTTTTGACAAGAGTGGCATCACCTTACTTATTTGCAATAAAAATAAAATTTTTGTTCTTTTCGGGCTATTTTTGCAAAAAGGAAGTTGGACCCGATGGGGGTTGCCTACGTATCTCACACCCTGTGAGAATCAAACTGGCGTAGTTTGGGCAAATAAAACAAAACCAACTATTTTTAAAAACAAAACGTCTTTTTTTCCTTTTTTTTCATTTTTCTCACAAATTCGGCAGAGTTTCAGCATTATTTGGACATTGGGTTTTTCAAAACCGGTGACGAACTCACTTAACCCTCACATTGCTATTATTTTTTTTTCAACCTTCTCCCATTATTTATAAGACGATCAGCATGCAAATACGAAGCAAATAAATGCACAAGTAGCAAGTAAGATGCATCAGGATGGTCCTTTTCATTTCGGGTACACCTGTCCTAGACAAACCCAACCCCTGTGTTGAGTCTCCAAAGTCAAATGCACGTGATGCAAACAAATGTTCCTACTAGGGATCCGACATGAGGCTTTGTTATAGTAGGTTTAAAACCTGGGTTTATTATTCTAGACCTGGCTTACCAGAGCAGACAACTCGAGCCGAGGGGGGCAGCGTACCGGGAATACAAAAGTTTCACCGGCTTTGCAACTTGTCCGAACCTCGTTCTAAATTTGGGATATTACTCTAACACAAGAGAAATAACACGAAGTGCACACTCCTCCATGATTTAGAAGACTCAGAGAGCATATAGGTTTCGTAGCAGTTTATATACAGTTCACAGAATATCAAAGTGGTAAAAGCAATATTTAGCACATTAGGCCCAAACATGTAACAAAATCAAATAATAAATAAAGCCAACTATAACAATTTATCTAAGCTCGAATTCTGAATCCTGAACCAGAGATTCTGGGTTCTTTTCCCAGTAGAGTCGCCAGAGCTGTCACACCTCCTTTTTCCTACACCCCGAAGGGTACACGGGCGTTTTTTAAATTAAAGGACAATCGAAACGAGACTATTTATTTATTAAATTCAGAGTTGCCACTTGGAATAATTTTATGGTGTCCCAAGTCACCCGTTCAAATCCCGAATCGAGGAAAGATTGACTCTGTTTTACAGTCCGCGAACCAGAAATCCGGGTAAGGAATTATGTTAACCCGGGAGAAGGTGTTAGACATTCCCGAGTTCCGTGGCTCTAGCACGGTCGCTCAACTGTTATAATTAGCACATTATCTGATTTAAAACATTTTAGACCTATGTGCAAATTTTAACTCTTAACCGCTTTTATTTATTTTAAAGAAGCTTTAACGTCGTCTAAAATATGTCTTTGGATTGCTTCACATGAAATGCACCCGCAATCTGAAACACATTTTATTCAACGGTATTAATATTTGGATTTGGGTCACATGAAATGCACACCCGAGTTTAGGAAGGTAAATTATTAAAATGACGCGCCTAAAGCAACTACGTGTTTGCAACTTTGCGAGGGCCATGGAAATTTCACTAGGTGGCATGCCTCGATTACTAAGGATAAAACAAGATTAATTATACGAGGGCCATGCAATTGTCATTTTTGTTCGGCACAACGCACCTCAATTTATCCTAACCAAAAGGTTTCTAAGCTAACTTACGAGGGTCATAAATTGTACAATTTGGCTAATATGGCACACCTCAATTTATTTTCTAAGAAAGGAATTATAATCAAACGGGAGCAATCACGGGAATTCTTGATTTACTGAAATTATTACGAAGTCCAGGATTAAGGATTCCAAATGAGCTGGTGAGTTAAAGATCAACGGGCCGCAAAGTTTGGTCCCAAGCATTAGCCCAAGCTTAGATTGCATAAATACCAAAAAAAACTAACGATGGAATAAGTACCAATGCAAGGAGACTTCGGAGTCATATTTAAATTTATCAATGAACAATTATCTGTATTCTAGCCATGATTCAGCTTTGAAAACAATTAGAAATCCCATTTTTGCAACTGACAGTATATTAATTTCCAAGTCTCCAACTTGCCTTGCAATACAGTCCTAAAGATTTAAACCAAACCAATTTAATACAAGTAGTACTTTGCCATTTTTATAGTGAATTTGAGCGTAAACCTACATTAAAGAACCCCAACAAACCTCAACCATA